TGATGAGTGGTGTATGATGAGTGGTGGTTGAACAGCTGTTGAATGTCCGTAACACGGAAGTTTTGCACACTAAACTTCCTTTGAAAATATGGATGCGTGGGAGCACAAAGCCACACACCAGTTACAACGAAGAACCGCCAGTTTCGGACTGCCCTGAAACTCTGCCGCCTCCGAAGTGGATTCCTAGAGGAAGGTCGTCGACCTTCACACTCTGGCCTTGCCATGAGCAGTCTTGACTGTTCGCTTGTTTCTTTGTATGAGTGTGTTTGTGTGTATGTGGTGGGGCTGTGTGGGTGGCATGCTTGCTTGATTGTGACGTGCTCAAGTTAAAGCAAGGTCTCAATCCCCAATTTGTAGCCTCGCTTTGATGAGTTGCAAGTTGATAAAATTGGTTCAAGATTCAAGCCGCCCTCTTTCTTCTTCTCCGCTGTCCTCATTGGTCAGGCTCCTGCTTGAAGGGTCTTGGCGGCTCCTCGTCCTACAACATCGCAAAGCGTGCTCCCTGAAGCAAATTGTAATATGTGCCGTGTTTGTCGCTTTTCAATTCTTTATGGCGGCCCTGCTGGACCAGCTTCCCGTCGTCTATCACAACAACCTGATCAGCTTGCTCACACAGAGTCACCCGGTGCGACACTATGAGAATGATCGTGTTCTGCTTCCTGGCCAACCTCATCAAATGCTCAAAGATATTCATCTCTGTTTCCACATCAAGTGCCCTTGTTGGCTCGTCCAACAGTAGAACCTGAGGCTGTCCAATAGTGGCACGAGCAAGCCCTATCCGCTGCCTTTCACCACCACTCACATTGTCATTGACCACAATGTCATTCAACCGTGAGAGAAGATCGGAACCCTCAACCTGCTTCAAAAAGTTTGTGATGATTGTCTCACTGAAATTCCGATGCATAGTAATGTTCTCCCTCAGAGTGTCTGGGAGTAATGGAACGTTCTGCCGCATCAAAGCAACCTCCCCGATCCCCGAGATATCACCACTGTGTTCAACCTCGCCTGCAAGAGCACGCAAAAGTGTGCTTTTGCCTGAACCGCTCTTTCCCACGATTGCTATCAACTGGCCATGTAATGCCTCAAATGAGACATTTTGTAGCAGGAATGCATCATTCTTCTGCACTGTCAAATTCTTGACCACTACACGACATTGGTGGCGAGTACAGACTGGGTTAGGAGACATTTCAGAAAGTTCAGACGACTTTGTAAGCTGATTCACGGTCTTGAATGTCTTACTGGACATGGTCACACGAATGAAACTCTGCAGCAAGTCTTTGAGCGAAAAAGCCAAGTTGATGCTTAGGCCAAAAGTAGTGTATTAAGCAGCAAATGGCACCTGCCCTCTCATCACTTGTCTGCCAATGAGGAAGTAGGCAGCAACGAAATTGACACTTTGACGCCAGCTGTCGAGCATCTGCCATTGCTGCCGTAGCACTTCCGGAGCAAACTCTTTGTCAATTCCATCTTGCATGTCTGCTGCCAGCTTAAGGCTCCTCTCCTTCGTTGCATTATAAGCTCGCGTTTCTTCTGCGACTCCAAGTTCAGCCACAACCCCATTTGCCACCTGCCTCGATGCCTCTGTGACCGTTGCTCCTGCAGGTCCGACCTTGGCTTGCACCTTGAGGCTGCAAACCACCCCAACAACAAGAACGCACATAAGCGCTAGATAAACCTGTCGAAAATGAACTTCTCTTCGGTTCACCAGCTGCCACGCAATAAATCCCGAGAAAATGACGCACCCAACAAGTCCTCGAAGAAATTCGTTCAAAATGCTTCTTAGCCCATCTATCTCCTGGCTGAACAACGCAGCTGCTGCGCCCTCAGACAAACCTTGTGTTGATTTCAAAACCAAGCCAAAGGCTTGCGTCTGAAGGGACAACTTGATGGAATTGCTAGTCTTCTTGCAAAGCAGGTTATAAGCTCCTTGACACACCGGCGATAACAGCAATATCAATAAGACCTTCCGCATCCTCGGCCAAAACTCTGCCCTATTTCCGGCAAGGAAGCAATACTGAGTGAGCTCTCCTGTGAATTGCTTCTCCAAAGCTATGCAAAAGCAGCCAGCCACCGAAAAGAGAACCATCCACTGAATACCGTACTTATTCCTCCATGCCTGCTTTGCTAGTTCATGAGGACCCAGCAAGCCCTGGGCAGTGTCTGTTGCCCTTGCTGGTCGCAAGGGCATCCTCTGGTTGGGAGGTGGGCGAGACAACGGCAGGAAGCAGGTCGACGCCCAGGCCACCGTGCAAAGTAGGGCGAAGCGGCAGGCTGGTCGAACCATCAGCTTTTACAAAAACTACAAAATGTCAGAGCCCAGTTGTCTTGAGAATCTTTGCGGCTCAGACAAGTTCGGATATCAGTTCACGTGCATCAAAAGATTCAAAAGGCAGTTCACACTCAGAGCTATCACAAACTCTCAAGAACTCAGTAGACCAAGCGATCAGTTGAGTTGGCAACTTTGTCAGTCTCTTCGGGTTCTATCTCTACCTCTATCTCTCTTTCCTGCACACACTGTCTTCATCCACTCCACGCCTTTTGCAATTCTGCTTCCAGCTCACTGGAGGTTCCTCAACCTGAAGCTCAAAAGGGAATACCGTTCCTCCCCATCAGTGAACCCTTGTCACCTGATCACCTGACGTGTGCCCCTGATATCAACCAAATTTGCCGTATTGCTAATATGTTGAACTCATTGGGGTAGCTATGTCACTCAAGTTATCCGTGTTCCTGCCGATTCCAGCCTCAATCTCCGGCTCAAGGACTGCTTCAAAACTCTCGAATCCCTGGGGGCATCATCAAGCTGTCTGTGTTGGGTCGCACATGTTTGATTTCCCGTTGTACACTTTGATCATCTTTGATCTGCCAGAGTGCCTTCTCTGGCAGCTCGCGGATTGATCAACTGTTCTTGCGTTTCGATAGTGTTGGCAATGCCTTGAATCAGTCCGACAATCTTGCAAAGCCATATTAAAAACCAGCCACAACCAGAAGCTGAAAAAGGATATACAGAAGACACTGCCAAAACGCAAGAAGACACCTCTTCTTTACAACAACCTTGCATACAAGCTAGAACTTCTTGAGCCTTCGTGGAAGTGCAGTACAGTATGTAAATCTCCCTCTCGTTCCAACCCTTCCAGCGTTTAGGGCTGAGAAATTCACCACCACCCTCTGCGAAGCTTTTGGTGCGATCACTAGGCCACGACCTCAGATCGACTCAGCCAACCTTATGGATGGCATCTACGATTAAATCTTTGTCCAGATTGATAAGCTGACTCGGTAGTGAGAACCCACCTTGGATTTGCTCCAACAATTTGTATGTTGGTTGATAAATCAGAAAAAGTAACATGTAAAAAAAAACACAGAGTTTGAATGTTCGCGATCTTCGCGCCCGAAAAAGTGGTGACGCACTGAGCACTTGACGTGGCCTGCACATCTTGGAAACCTTGACTGGCTCGGGCCTTGAGTTGGGAGAAGCAATGCACTCGAGTAGTGGACGCCACAATTCATCTGGTTCAAGGCTTTGCCAGACCCGCCATCTGCAAAGCCCTCATGCAAATCAAGAAACACTGCGAAGTGCGAGTGGGTCACCGCCCAAGTTGGCAGGCCTGGCCTGGATGACACGACTGCCTCGGAGAAGCACGCCTCCTTCCAGGGTAGGTTGCTTGACACGAAGATTGATGCTCAGAAGACAACTACAAAAACGGAACATGAATATCACCTGACTGAGCGATATTTCACCTATACATATCAATAGACACGTGTGTGTGTGTGTGTCCACCCCTGGACAAAGGGTTTCCTTCGACCACTCCAATCAGGCAGGGGGGGCCAGGCCTGTCACATCCAACCTGGCCCAACGAAGCTAGGATGTGACAGGGGAAGCACCAAAGGACGCTTTGGTGTGTACCTGCCGATTTCTCCACAAGCTGTGACTCCACTTTCCACGTTTTTGGTTCATGGTTCTTCATGATACTTCCCCAAAACCTTCCCTTTGCCGCGTTTGTCTTGCAGCTGAGCCGCGCCGACCGATCGTTCAGCAGACTTGACCAACAACTTGTTGAAACACCTACAAGTCTTTCGGACTCTTCACCATGCAGTTCTGTCACCTTCCTTCCCAGCGTGGTAACTGAGTTCACTGAATACAAGTGTCAGAGTGTCTTTCGCTCAGCCGTCCCACTCGGGTGCTGAGTGTGATCCCCGTCACAGGGGCGCCGTTTTTACATGGGAAAGCAACCACCCCAAAGCACCACCGCTCTTTGGACCCTCACTGGCAGTCACCGACACCCCCACTGAATCAACCGATACACTGGCCGCCGGGCCCAAAAACGGTTACTTTCGAATACATCAGATTTCGGAGACTGAAGAACTCAAACTCGCTAGCCTGAGCATACTTGACGGCTAAGTATTCACATGCCTGCGCTGCTAAGTATTCACAGGCCGGATGAATTCATCATGCACACCCCCCCCCCCCCTCCCTACCCCCAGGCCTCCGTTGCTATCCCACCCGCTACTCGGGAAACAGAAGGAAATCGCACTCAACACACTTGTGTGTTGGTGCCTTTCCTTCTGTTTCTCCTAGCTATTGCTAGCTACCCGGGCGGTTTAAGACGAATGTCCCGCTCGCCTTCTACTTTCGTTTAACTAAGTGGGCCTCGTAACTACCCTACTTTTCTCTCTTGCCCTCTTAGTCTGCTCTTGTTTCGTTGCTTTTTCTGTCTTTCTAAGGCTTTTTAGGTGTCTACTAGTTCTTCGTTGCGCCAACAATTTGGCGCTTTTTGTACAAATGTTCCCCTGGGAGTTAGGACGCTACTGGAGGCCCCTGGCCTTACTACTACTTTGACCGCGCCGAAAACGGCTCTGTGTGTGTGTCCACCCCTGGGCAAAAGGTTTTCGTCCACTGGTTCAACGGTAGGGGGTGTCTTGAAAAAGCGCCGAAGCCGGCGACTTGTGTGTGTCCACCCCTGGACAAAGGGTTTCCTTCGACCACTCCAATCAGGCAGGGGGCCAGGCCTGTCACATCCAACCTGGCCCAACGAAGCTAGGATGTGACAGGGGAAGCACCAAAGGACGCTTTGGTGTGTACCTGCCGATTTCTCCACAAGCTGTGACTCCACTTTCCACGTTTTTGGTTCATGGTTCTTCATGATACTTCCCCAAAACCTTCCCTTTGCCGCGTTTGTCTTGCAGCTGAGCCGCGCCGACCGATCGTTCAGCAGACTTGACCAACAACTTGTTGAAACACCTACAAGTCTTTCGGACTCTTCACCATGCAGTTCTGTCACCTTCCTTCCCAGCGTGGTAACTGAGTTCACTGAATACAAGTGTCAGAGTGTGTGTAAACAGGTCAGGTGGGCATGCAGTCACGCATTGACTGACATGCTTTACGTCAATGCTGCCTTGTGGCTTCAAATCTTGAGCTTTCATGATGTAAAGAAGGGCTTAAGTGACTACGGACGTCATGAGACCACAACGTATCAGCTTCGATGTCCTACTGTTTCCTAAGTTCACGCAACTTTAGGACCAATAATGCCTTGCGAAACGCTACGGTTTCTCTTCTCTCTTTTCTCTTCGCGACTCTCTTGTCATGCACTAGAGTCACTAGAATAGAATCAAACCCTGTAGACTTGATGCGGATCTTCCTCGGTCTCATTGTTCTCATTTTCTGCTTTCTTTCTGGCATGTGTCTGGTGATGTCTTGTGTGAGCATGCAACAATGCACTTCTCACCGCCTTTGCATCCAGTTCTACCTTGGCGAAGAGCCGCCGGAACCGCTCGGCTAACCTGCCCAAGGTGAAACCGAGGAAAACCCCGGCATCTTAGTATCCTCCACAAGAGCTGCTTGGCTGCTTGAGGTAATCACTCAATGAATTCATGTGCCGTTTTAGTTCAGCCTTGAGCAAACTCTGTTTAAATGGACCCGAGGAAGGGGCAAACATGGTTAAGTTAAACTTATCATTTGCTGGACCTCCTGGTTGTCAGATGAAAAATCTGTCACTTCAATTGGGTTATAAATCTCACTTTACAAACCGGTTTAAATCTCCCTTTCGCATCGGCGCACCCAGTGAGATGCAGATGCTTTGGCAAAGCTGGGCCAGGTAATGTGAGCACGCCCTGTCCAGCGAGCACGGAGCAACACTCCACTCTAACCCCTTTCAACGACAGGAAATTCCTTTGAAGAAATGATTCGGATGAAAAACGAGAAACGGCAACACACAGGACCTCAGGACACATGAAACCTTGTGCTCACCACTTGTGGTTCCTTGTACCGATTCTCGGGGAGTCCATACCACGACATGCTCCACCTGCATTGAAGCAGTTGGAGCCTACAACATCTGTTTCCATGCAATTCATGACTCGTTGAGTTATACTTCAAAAAGCCTGATCTCACACACATACATTTTTTTGTAGTGTTTTAGGAACTTTGGGCCCCCCAAGCACGCAAAGACGTCTACCGTCTGCTAAAAACAATGTCCACAATCGGGGACTTCTGAGTGAAAAGTATTTGTTCAACCGCTCCCACCTTTCTGCTCTTCGCCACCTCAGTGCCTTCGCAGGACAAGGCAGTTCAGTCATCACCTTGCTGAGCTCAGCTCAGCTAAAATTAAAAGCCAATTCAATCCGACTCAAGTTCTGCCTCCAATGATGAGATGTCGTAGATCCACCTGGAAGCACAGAACGCCGTATGCATCGCATGTTGGTGTGGCCATGCAGTCAGGTTGCTTTGAGGTACTCACATAGGTACACTGTACCTGATACAGTATCTGGTGTGTCTACCGTTGTGTAGTGATGCCAACATTGGAGTGGCGAGGAATCCGAAAAAAATCATCGATTCCCAAGTTGCCACGCCTGGCGATTTGGCAACGCCATGGGGATCACACTGAGGCATCGCGAGGATTGAGTGTATCAAACTTCCAATACGGGCAAATAAGGATTTCAAGATTGTGCTGGTAGTGCTAATTGTAGACTAGGGGTTTGGGTCGGAGGATATTTATTGATATTCTGTGTAATTACATTGGCAGACTCGTTGGCAAACCAGAAGTGGAAGAGTGTGAAACCAGGCGCTGCTCTGGACTTGCAATCACTCAGCTAAAACGGCTGCGAGGCACTGCAAGGTGTTAAGTGAATGTTACAGCCTCTCGACTCCTGACCATGTGCTTGCTCACCTCCCCTTTAGAAGAACCGAGTCGTTTCTGATCCTCTGCGAGTATTCACTTCCTCTACTTGGCACCTTGAGAACCGAAAAGCAAATCAAAGGTCGAACACGCCTGAAAAGCTTTCGGCTTCGACCTCAGTACTTCCATGTACAGCCTGTCTTTTCCAAAACAAGTCACTCCAGCGGCTACAGCTTGCGAGCTTCAGGCTTGCTTGCCTTGTGGTCGATGCAGCTGTGCAACTGAGATGTTTAGTGGACGGTGTGAAGAGAGAAACGTTTCATCGAGTCAAAACTGCTTCACCACCCCCAAAAGAATCCAATCTGAATTGCCAGCATCTTAAAATTCCAGTTCCTTATATATAGCTCTCAGGATGCTGTGAAGTCCCGTCGCTTTCCCCTCTTGAGGAGTGAACTTACCTTGTGCCTCGTGCCAATCCCTTGTCATTCAACTCAGCGACTTAAGAAAATGTTGTTGTTTAATTCTATATCTGGGTGGGTCGCGAGTCTGAACGATGCACCGCAATAAAAGGACTTGAACTTCTATTGACCTGTCGGCAACTTGTTTGCTTCAATAGAAATGCTGGGCCTTTGAATTTTGCAAATTCCGCCCATCGACATGAATCGACCATCCATCCATTGATCTGGCCTATCTACTCAGTCGACTCTGCAGTCCTTGAGCTGATCCCCCTTGATTCTTGATGATCAAGGGCACGTCAAATGCACTGTTCAGTTCGTGGTTAAAACTCTGATACCTGGCTTCGCAGCCTGAGTGAGTGAGAAAATTGGCGAGCAAAACTCTATCTTGCTGATAAAAACAACGCTTTGTTGAGAATTCCTGGTCCTGCCTCCCACCACCAAGGTCTCTCACTGTGCTAGACTTGGGTCATGCTGAACCTGAAAAAGGTTAGACTGATTAACAACTTGCCTTTCAGCAAACATGGTGTTGTCGGTTTGCGTAGTCCTTCTTCGAGCGGCATCTTTGCACGCCCCTATCAATCAGGCCTTATTTGCACTTTCAATGGCTACATGCCCGCCATGATACTTTGTCCAGTTTAAGTTTAGCTGTGTAATCGAAGGATTAGCGTGGACGGTCTAAACATCCAAATATATTAAAATTTGACTGACCAGCTACACTGACATTCTGATCAGCTCAAGCTGCTAAGCAGTGGCGGCGGGCAGTGATCGTTTCTTTGGAGCCAGGCCAAATCCAAACACCCAAATCGTTCAAAAGGAAATAGCGGATTAGCGATATCAATGACCCCCCTGCCCCTGCCGTTTACAACAAACACAGGAGGTGGTCTTGCAAAAGGTAAAGGGCTGAGGCCTAACATTGTGGACGCATGCGGACACTATAATCCTGCTTGCTGCTGGGGGAGGCTTCAAGAAGGTATCCGGTATCCTTTTCTATGAAGCAAATGACATCAAATGTGTTTTGCTATGTATCTTTCAATTGCCGTCACTGCCACACTGAAAGCCTGGCCGTGCACAACCACTCACAGAAACTACCGAATCTCTGGGATCGTCTTGATCCTGTGAATTCATCCTCAAGACTCCTGATCGTTCTGAGGAGGAACATTAAATTAAATAACTGCTTGCCAGCAGCAGCTGCTGCAGCTGGAACTTTACTTGAATTTTTGGGGACTGATTTGAGAAAGACTCAATCCACATCTTGCCCCACACATGCTCACATGCCCGGATGCCCTGAACCGAGTGATTTACTCACCTAGACGTATTCACGGCTACCCCACTGCACCAGCTGTACTTTGTCCGGCGCCTATCAATCGTTCACCCGGCAATCCCAGAAACAACAGGATTTGCGTACCTCAACCATGCGCTTTCATCCAGATGCCGCGAAGTGCCTGCTAGTTCCTCTCTGCCCATTCTGCCTCATGAAAACCTGTTTGAGTTTGTCTTTGATACTGTGTAGGCCAGAACAGTCTGCGGAACTGTGATCTTCCAACTACTGCAGTTAAGCCTCCATCTATACGTCTGAGAACGCACAGACTCTGAAGTCGGGACAGCAGTGCAATCACAAATCATGGCGCGAAAAGCTCCTAGTAGCATCCTTGTTCCTAGTAGTAAGGCCAGGAGCTCTTAGCAGCGTCCTTGTTCCTAGTAGCGATGCCCTTTGCTCCTAGTAGCGGCCTCTCTGAACATTCCTTCATCTGAGACCCACACCGTCTGCTCATGAGCCTGCCACTCTTGCCCGGGCCAACATCTTAGCTGTTCACAAGAACAGTCGACAAGAGTCCAGTTGAGTGTGCACACTACTTTCCCGAAGGAACTGTGTGTATATCCCAGGACTTACGGCTCCCTTTTGCTTGCTCATTTTCTGCATTCTTCTTGTAACACTTTGACTTGTTGCCCCGCACAAAACGTCCTACTGTACCTGCATCCTGACACTGCCCAAACTCTGCATTCTGACTATGGAACTCCCGCAACTCCCAAATATATCCCTCAACTTCAAAATCAAGCATGGCAATGCTCCGGAAGTGTTGCAAGATATCTACTCTTCTCCAACTGTCAAACTTGGCTTCTTGCCAGTCGGCAGGCCACTTTGGCAAGTCAAGGCCCATTATCCTTTCTTAAATAATCATGCAAGGTGGATACTTTTCCAACATATCGCAGAACAAGGGTAACGGTGATCCTGCTGTCTAAAGCCCTACAAACTCATGCATATTTCAGGGCAAGCTCCCCAGTAGGAATAGAAAAATATGGTGTTTGTCAATGTTGTCAGCTGTATTGAGCTGACACATACTATATCGTTTCATGATTCCACCTCCAACGCCTCCGACACGTTGGTGATTCGCCGGCAAATGGCCTCGATTTTGATCTCGGTCTCACCCGGCATCTTCTTCGGGGAGAGGGTCCGAAGAAACTCGCTGGTGGCCCTGAAGCATTCACAAAGCAGTGGTGGAAAACGGTGCGGATGTCTTTGATTGGCTAAAAACGCGCTACTGGAAACTGTTCAAGCCTGATAAAAGTGTACGATTCAATCTTTTTTGGAATTGTTCTTTTTGGTGTCTTCCCTCGCCAACCCGGAACCTCCTACCTGTAAGTGCGCCGTAAATGTTGATTTGTCCGCGGTCTATCGCTCTTGTGTTGTTTCTTTTGAGGCGGTTTGTTCTCCACCTTACATTGTTCTTTTCGGCCTGCCCCACCCCTCTGACCTTTTGGCACAAAAGGTTTTGACGTGGAGTTTTCGGTTCATCGCGCGCGCTCTCCCTCTCTCTCTCTCTCTCTCCTCTCTCTCTCTCTCTCTATCCGCTTTCTTCTCTGTTCTGGTTTGATTAGCCGTAGGGCATGGGGCTGCCAGCATTATCCAAATAGACCATGACATGTACTGTACATTTCCAGATACCCTGGCAGGCAGTTGGTCACGCAACTCAACGTTGAGCCCTTGGTCAAACTGGTATCGTTTTCGCATCTCCTCTTCCCCCATGCTTTGATAAGTCATGACAAATCATATTAACAACTAGTTAAATCTCAATGACTCTCACAAAACCACATTGAATGCGCACACACAGCCCTAAAAATAGGCACACAAAACCTACGGCCTTTAGACATCCAGATTGCAAATTCAGCCGAGGGGCTCTTGCACGGTTGCCAGAGGCCTGCAAATGCACTTTTCTTGGACCTCAAGACAAGACCTGCCCTCCACCCAGGCGACCTACTAAGTACTAAGTACGGACACTTGCGGCAACGGTACCAACTCTTCACTTCAAAAGCCTGTTGGAGCACACTGCGGTTTCTACCTCCAAGTCTCCCCAATCAGTTGATATTGAAAGCTTTGGACTTAGGGTTGACTTAGAGTATATGTACAGCAAACGCTTGGAACTGTGAGCTAGTCCTGTGTGGAAAGAACTCCGTAGGAGTTCACGCCTTTTTCTCAACTGACCTGACATGGCTACAAGATCAGTTTTCGATCAGCCACGCATGCAATGCAGCTTTTCCCACCTAAACCACGATCACCACAACTGCGCCAAGCTACCTCTGGAATAGACGACCTGCGCAAGTTGCATTTTTTTAAAGAGAGGGTTGCAACACGCCTCAGGCTGAAGGTCATCCTCGGCGAAAACGTAGCAGCAGTTTCCTCCACATAGGTCTCAACAACTCATGTGGACAGCCACCGCACTTTCCTTTGCACAAGTTCGCAGTCTTCAGTATCAGTACACAGAGGTGTATGGCTCCACCCAGACACAAGCTCGAAAGCTCATACCAACAATCGCCCAAAAGAACCGCCACCGGTAATGCCAATGCCGCGCGGCGCTCACGCGGTTCTTCTGTGGCCCAACCGAAGCTGCCTTGTCAGAGTAGGATGCCTCTTTGCGACAGCGCTGATCGTCTCCGAGAATCTTCCATATAAGGACGTCGTCTAGCAACAAACATCTCGCGCCCGTAGGCTACCAGCACTTCGTTGATGAACTCAGGGTCGCATTGCCTTGAATCCATAAGGGCAGTAAGAGCGAGGCGAAATCCTTCAACCAGCCTTTGTCTTGGTGGCTTCGAGTCTTCTGCCTAAGCACTCTATCCGCAGTCCAGCTCTCTTCACGTCATGATTTCCCCTGCGTGAAGGCGTGAAGCGGTATGGCTAACGCTGGAAACCCGACGTAAAGCGTGGAACAAAACCCCGGTCCTGCTACCTTCAACATCCTCCCAACCAACTTTTTGAGGGTGAACCATCAGAAGTCAATCGGTGCCACCTGAGGCAATA